ATCTATAAAGCTATCTATCTTCCTCTGCTCAGCCTTCCCTAAGGTCCACCTCTCACATCCGTAGGTTACTACAGGGAATACCATGGCTTTGACTATGTGGATCTTTGTTGCCAGTGTGATGTCTCTACTCTTTACTATTGTATCGAGATTGTACATTGCTCTCCTCCCAAGAAGTAAGCACCTTCTGATTTCCTGGCCACAGTCTGCATCTGCAGAAATCTTTGCACTTAGAAAGGTTACGAAACAGTTTTTGGTCAACTTTAAATTTTGTTTCGCTATTTGGGGTGCTGATTCAGAAAATTGCATTGAATAGACCACATCAGCTCTAGTTTCTGATAGAGAACATGTGCCATCTACTGTATAACACAGTAGAACAATGAACCAAGTGGATCTCAGCCAGTTTGAGGGAGTTGTATACCCCACTCTTTCTTATGGTGTTATACTTTGTTGACCCTGACTTGATTTCTCTGTTTTGGCAATATAACGAGATGTCTGACATCATATATTGTTCTTAATCAAAGGTCTGTATGTGTATACATATAAGAATTTGTGTGAGGTCAGGTGCTACCAGCAATTATTTATTTATTTATTTATTTATTTATTTATTTGCTTTATTTCTATACCGCATTTTTCAGCCCTTAACAGGCGACTCAATGCGGTTTACATGGTACAATTATCAAACAGTGTCAGTGCAATTAAAACATAACAATGCAACAACAGGATCAACAGCATCAATCCACAACAGTTAACAATCAACAAGACAGATCAACAAAACAGACATAACATAACGCCTCAGTTGAAATCAGATCCGTTCTCATAATCCTTGTGCCATTCCTATGTTCCATTTACCGTCTTCCTATGATTGGTTGCACTGCTTAACCAAACGCTTGTTCATAAAGCCAGGTCTTAACCATTCTCCGAAACGTCAGCAGCGAAGGTGCCTGTCTGATGTCTGCCGGTAGGGCATTCCATAGCCGAGGGGCCACCACTGAGAAGGCCCTGTCTCTCGTCCCCGCCAAGCGAGCCTGTGATGCAAGCGGGATTCAGAGCAGGGCCTCCCCAGACGATCTTAATGTTCTGGTCGGTTCATAGGTGGAGATGCGTTCGGAGAGGTAAGCAGGGCCAGAACCGTTTAGGGCTTTATAGGCTAAAGCCAGCACCTTGAATTGTGCCCGGTAGCGGATTGGCAGCCAGTGGAGCTGGTTCAGCAGAGGAGTGGTATGCTCCCTGAGTGCCGCTCCCGTTAGCAACCTGGCTGCCGAGCGCTGGACCATCTGAAGCTTCCGGGCAGTCTTCAAGGGCAACCCCACGTAGAGCGCGTTGCAGTAATCAATCCGGGATGTAACCAGAGCGTGGACCACTGTGGCCAAGTCAGACTTCCCAACGTACAGGCGCAACTGGCGCACAAGTTTGAGTTGTGCAAATGCTCCCCTGTAGTTTTAAGAGCGAACTCTAAGATCTTCCGGGGAGGCCCTCCTCTCGGTCCCACTACCGTCTCAAGTGCGGTTGGTGGGTATGAGAGAGAGGGCCTTCTCAGTGGTGGCCCCCTGCCTCTGGAATGCCCTTCCAAGGGAAATAAGACAGGCCCCATCCCTCCCCTCCTTTCGTAAGAGCTTGAAGACCTGGTGGTTTCAACAAGCCTTTGAAAATGGCCAGTTCTAACTCAGCTCTATACATTGTCAAATACGGCCTTATTCTTCCTACCAATTACCCAGATCAATTACCCAGATCTTCCTACCAATTACCAATTATCCAGACCAATAACCAATTGCCCAGTGTGGATCACATCTCACCACACTAAAACAGTGGATGTGGCTCTTAATGAGATATGCTGCATTATCACAGGGTGTCTGCGCCCTACACCACTGGAGAAATTACACTGTTTAGCCAGTATTGCACCACCTGACATCCGCCGGGAAGTAGCAGCCAATAGTGAAAGGACCAAGGCAGAGACATCCCCAGCTCATCCCCTGTTTGGGTATCAGCCAGCACGTCAATGACTTAAATCTAGAAATAGTTTTCTAAGATCTACAGAGACACTTGCTGGAACACCTCAGCAAGCGAGAGTCCAAAAGTGGCAGGCTCAAACCCAGAACCTCAACCAATGGCTGATGCCAAATGAGAGACTCCCCCCTGGGCACACAGAAGACTGGGCGACTTGGAAGGTGCTGAACAGACTGCGCTCTGGCACCACGAGATGCAGAGCCAACCTTCAGAAATGGGGCTACAAAGTGGAATCCTCGACATGCGAGTGTGGAGAAGAGCAAACCACTGACCACCTGCTGCAATGCAACCTGAGCCCTGCCACATGCACAATGGAAGACCTTCTTGCAGCAACACCAGAGGCACTCCAAGTGGCCAGATACTGGCCAAAGGACATTTAACCAACTACCAAACTCACACATTTTGTATTTTGTCTGTTTGCTTGCTTTGTTCTGTTAGAAATGTAAAATAATTTGACTGGTTATCCTGACACGACAAATAAAAAAATCTACAGAGTTGTTGTGAGCCGAGGGGGTGCTCCTTAAGTGGCGGTCGAGGGGCATTTACAGAGGCGCCTTTGCGCCCCTGGCAAAAAAGTGTACCACAACCACTTACTTTGCGTAATGGACGAGCCGCCCCTGGGTGCCGATTCAGAAAATTGCATTGGATAGACCATATCAGCTCTAGTTTCTGATACAGAACATATGCCAACCAGTAGTCACCATCTGCTCGCCCACAGAAAACCATATATAATAAGCCTTGGCACAATAAGAGGGCTTCATGAGACCAGTCACTCTCATTGCAATGGTGTAGTAACAGTGAGGCTGCAGACCATGTCCTACATCAGCATTTCTCAACCTGGGTGTCGGGACCCCTGGAGGGGTCGTGAAAAGGGTTTCACAGGGGTCACCAAAGACCATCAGAAAACACAGTATTTTCTCTTGTTCATGGGGGGGGGGGTGTCTGTGTAGGAAGTTTGGCCCAATTCTATCATTGGTGGGGTTCAGAATGCTATTTGATTGTAGGTGAACTATAAATCCCAGCAATTACAATTCCCAAATGTCAAGGTTTATTTTCCCCAAACTCCACCAGTGTTCACATTTGGGCATATTGAATATTTGTACCATGTTTGGTCCAGATCCATCATTCTTTGAGTCCACAGTGCTCTCTGGATGTAGGTGAACTACAACTCGAAAACTCAAGGTCAATGCCCATCAAACTCTTCCAGTATTTTCTATCGGTCATGGGAGTTCTGTGTTCCAAGTTTGGTTCAATTCCATTTTTGTGGAGTTCAGTATGCTCTTTGACTGTAGGTGAACTACAAATCCCAGCAACTACAACTCCCAAATGACAAAATCAATTTTTTTTTTAGCGCAGGACATACATTGGGTTGTTAGGTGTCTTGTGTCCAAATTTGGTGTCAATTCGTCCAGGGGTTTTTGAGTTCTGTTAATCCCACAAACGAACATTACATTTTTATTTATATAGATTTGGTCCTGCCATTGATTTTAATTGTGTCATTGTGTGTTGTTAATGTCATTGCCTTGTTTTTTGAGTTATTTTGCTGTTTGTTGTTGCTGTTTTTACTGTTGTATTTGGGCTCGGCCTCTTGTAAGCCGCACCGAGTCCTTCGGGAGATGGTAGCGGGGTACAAATAAAGGATTATTATTATTATTATTATTATTATTAAGGTTGAGAGACACTGTTCTACGTAAACCTGGTTTTCAAAAGAAAAAGCATGCATCACAGAGATTTATCCTTTAACTAGTGGTTCTCAAACGGTGGGTCCCCAGATGTTTTGGCCTTCAACTCCCAGAATTCCTCACAGCTTGTAAACTGGCTGGTATTTCTGGGAGTATTTATTTATTTATCGTGTCAGTGCAACCAATCGATTATATTACATTTCTAACAGAACAAAGCAAACAAACAGAGAAAATACAAAATGTGTGAGTTTGGTAGTTGATTAAATGTCCTGTGACCAGTATCTGGCCACTTGGAGTGCTTCTGGTGTTGCTGCAAGAAGGTCCTCCATTGTGCATGTGGCAGGGCTCAGGTTGCATTGCAGCAGGTGGTCAGTGGTTTGCTCCTCTCCGCACTCGCATGTCGAGGATTCCACTTTGTAGGCCCATTTCTGAAGGTTGGCTCTGCATCTCGTGGTGCCAGAGCGCAGTCTGTTCAGCGCCTTCCAAGTCGCCCAGTCCTCTGTGTGCCCAGGGGGGAGTCTCTCATTTGGTATCAGCCATTGGTTTGAGGTTCTGGGTTTGAGCCTGCCACTTTTGGACTCTCGCTTGCTGAGGTGTTCCAGCTAGTGTCTCTGTAGATCTTAGAAAACTATTTCTAGATTTAAGTCATTGACGTGCTGGCTGATACCCAAACAGGGGATGAGCTGGAGATGTCACTGCCTTGGTCCTTTCACTATTGGCTGCTACTTCCCGGCGGATGTCAGGTGGTGCAATACCGGCTAAACAGTGTAATTTCTCCAGTGGTGTAGGGCGCAGACACCCGTGATAATGTGGCATGTCTCATTAAGAGCCACATCCACTGTTTTAGTGTGGTGAGATGTGTTCCACACTGGGCATGCATACTCAGCAGCAGAATAGCATAGCGCAAGGGCAGATGTCTTCACTGTATCTGGTTGTGATCCCCAGGTTGTGCCAGGGAGTTGTTTCTGGGGGTTGTAGACCAAAACACCCAGGAACCCACAAGTTGTGAACCACTGCTTTACGCAAACCGACAACCCCCCCCCCCCCCGGAATAATGTCCAGGTATGGCTAACTCAACACTTTCTCCTTCCAGATTACATCTTTGTCACCCCCGTCGAGGTGGACTCCAGCGGATCATACATTTCGCACAATGTTTTGCACAGCACGAGGAAAAAGAGGACTGCTCCAAGCTCAAGGAATTCCTTGCACTACAGATTTTCAGCATTTGGACAGGAACTGCACTTGGAGCTTGAACCCTCTGTCTTTTTTAGCAGCAATTTGATGGTTCAGGTGCTTGGGAAAGATGGAATTACAGATTCTAAAGAACATGAAATTGAACAGTGTTTCTATCAAGGATTTATAAGGAACTACAGCTCTTCTTCGGTTGCCCTATCTACATGCATAGGCTTGGTAAGTGTGTACTGTCTCCTTAATATAATCTAGTTTCCATACATTTGCTTTGGTTTGGGAGTAAGCGTGCCACATTCCCCTGTTTAGAGTTGTTTGGGCCCTTGTCCATTAGACATTTCTGCTATGGGAAGCCCTGAATTATATAATCACAGTTCAGAAGACAATGTTTACATACTGTTTATACTATATGCATGTACAAGTCGACCTCATGTATAAATTGAGGACAGGTTTGTCTTATCGTCAGGCCATAACAAAATCCATAATTTTGGCCTGCAAACCTGTCCTTGGCTTATACATAAGGCCCACATATACAAGTATATATGGTAGCTATCATCATCCTTACTCTTTCAATTGTTCCAATAAGAGAGCTTTGGTTACCAGATATTGTTCCATGCTCAACCAGTAGCTATTTTCAAATTGGTATTGGAGAGGCAGACTTAATGAAAATACATTGAGAGCAGATGTTAATGTCTTTTGTGCAACCAGAATGCACAGCATATGTATGCAAAAGTGTATACTTGGCTGGAAGTGCTCCAGATTCCGCCTATGTGTCAGCATCAGGGAGAGGAAATGTGTTGGACGACAACTTGTCCCTCACCTTAGGCTACTTTGAGTTGCTGGCCAACAACATCTGGAGGGCCATACGTTCCTCATTCCTGCGGTATAGGTATGCATAATATATGCATACTCTCAGTTCCTACTTTTGCCTTTACTGCATATTTACTTATACGAACCATATTTGCAACATGAATCTCAGTTGTTATGCACAAAGATTGCTTTGAGATGTCAGGCGCTCTATTCCCTGTTCCTCGGGTGTGAGTGTCTACATGTGCTCTGGTTGGATTTGGCATCACTGTGTATCTTCAGCTCAGATCTTTTGCTCTGCAAGCACATGTCCCACATATGTGGGATCTGGAATAGTGAGACTTTGGGACTTGCTTTATAGTATTGCTGGGAATCACACAGCAATCCAGATTATGTTGTACTGCATGCAGGGATGGCCCCAGGTAATTTTCAAGTGTAAGCAAACAGAATTTTGGTGCCCCCACCCCCAACTAATCACTGAAAAATTATATATATACTAGCTGTGCCCTGCCACGCGTTGCTGTGGCCTATAGAAAGTATTTTTGAAGTAGAGGTAGACATCTGGACTATTATGAAAGAGCGGTACCTACTAGGCTTGGGTAACAATGGAAAAATTTGTTTCTAAACTCGTTTCGTTTTTTGGGGTCCATCGCGTTTCGTTTTTTTAAAGAATTCCGAAATTTTCCTTTTAAAAATTTCGAAATTTACGAAATTTCGTATAATTACGAATTGATTCGTTAATGGCGGACACGATTGCGCAATATGCTAAAAAACCTTCCAAATGGGACAGGGGGAACTTCTGAAGCTTCCCTCTCCCTCTGTTGTTGACTGTTGGTGTGATAAAACAAACAACAACTATAAAACTTGCACCAGACATGCGAAAATAATTACGAAATAATTACGAAATAATTACGAAATAAATTGAAAAAATTGTTTCGAATCTTAATTACTCCTCACACTATTCCTGCATGGCTCAATATTGGATCGTAAGCTAATTTAAATACGAATTAATAACGAATTACGAAATTAACGAACGAAACCGCCCAAGCCTAGTACCTACCTATTCCTCCCCCCCTTTTTTTCTTGCCCTTCCTCTCCTTTCTTCCTTATCTACCTCTTTTTTTCATTCCTTCTTTTGCTCTTTGGTTTCATCTTTCCTTCTCTCTTTCCTTCCTTTCCTTCTCCTTTCTCTACTTCTTCCTTTGTCTCCTTTCTTCCCTTCCTGTTTCCTTCCTTCTTTCACTATTTATTTCCTTTTCTCCTTCCTTCATTCTTTACTTCTTTCCTGCCTTTCCTCCCCCTTTTCTTTCCTTTCTACTTTGTATTCTTCCTTCCCCCTTTTCTTTCCTTTCTACTTTGTATTCTTGATTCTGCTCTTTCCTCCTTCCTCCCTTCCTTCTTTCCTCCCTCCTTCTCTCTTTCCTTCCCCCTTTCCCTCCTACATTCCTTCCCTTTTTCCCTCCCTCCTTTCTTCTCTAATTCCTTCCTGTCTGTCCTCCCGCAATACTATGGTAGAGTCCCTTCTAACTCTATTCTATGAGTCTATTTAATATAGTAATATTTAGAATTTAAAGGTATTTTTGTGGGGTTTTTTTTCAGTGATGGTCACTCCTTGGATTGTGAGAAGTTTTGTAGCCAAATTTGGGATCATTTGGCCCAGTAGTTTTTTAGGTACTCATTATGCACAGAGTATATATATATATATATATATATATATATATATATGAGGCAAATATTGGCCCTCCAGGTATTTTGAACTTCCTACTGGCTGTTTGGAATTGTGGAAGTCCAAAACACATGGAGGACTGAAGTTGGCCCATGCCTTTGAGGCACGAAGAGGGCCGTGGTGGCAGCAGTTTCCCCCTCCGCTGCTCCGTGCTCCTTCCTCGCCAGGCTGAGTGCCAGGCTTGGGAGCCTAGCCTGGCGAGGAAGGGACCCTTTGAGGCATGGAGCAGCAGAGGGGGCAAGGAGGAGGCTGCTGGGGGGTGGGGAGAGAATCATATGAGGATGAATAAGCTGAGGGTCAATCCCAACAAGACAGAGGTCCTCCTGGTCAATCGTAAGCCAGATTGGGGTATAGGGTGGCAACCTGTGCTGGATGGGGTTGCAAAACATCAGGAGAAAATGCTGCTAGAATATAGACATACAGCCCAGAAACTACTCTGCACCCCAGTACCAATATTGTTTCCTGCATAGAAAGTGCTATTTTTGATCCAAAACAACAAAGAATAAGTACCAAATTGCAAACAGGCTTTGAAAACTGCATAGCTTCTAAATCTTTCTCACAGCAAGATGAAAATTGTTAAAAGCATTCATTATTTGCTTTGTGTTCAGAACTTTGGATAGCTCCTTTGAACTTCAGTCTAAAACCTGGAGGGTTCAGCATTCCACTGACATGGGAGCTATCAGCCATCAACGAGTCCATAACCAGTCTGGAATACAGACAGAAAGGGTCTATCACTGAATCACCATTACTTACCATATACAAAAACAAAAATAATGACCACAGGTGATTTACTTATCTTTAAAATCAATGATTTTATTTATTTCTCGTGTCAGGGCAGCCAGTCAATTATATTACATTTCTTACAGAACAAAGCAAGCAAATAGAGAAAATACAAAATGTGTGAGTTTGGTAGTTGATTAAATGTCCTTTGACCAGTATCTGGCCACTTGGAGTGCTTCTGGTGTTGCTGCAAGAAGGTCCTCCATTGTGCATGTGGCTGGGCTCAGGTTGCATTGCAGCAGGTGGTCAGTGCTTTGCTCCTCTCCGCACTCACATGTCGAGGATTCCACTTTGTAGCCCCATTTCTGAAGGTTGGCTCTGCATCTCGTGGTGCCAGAGAGCAGTCTGTTCAGCGCCTTCCAAGTCGCCCAGTCCTCTGTGTGCCCAGGGGGGAGTCTCTCATTTGGTATCAGCCATTGGTTGAGGTTCCGGGTTTGAGCCTGCCACTTTTGGACTCTCGCTTGCTGAGGCGTTCCAGCGAGTGTCTCTGTGGATCTTAGAAAACTATGTCTGGATTTAAGTCATTGACGTGCTAGCTGATACCCAAACAGGGGATGAGCTGGAGATGTCTGTGCCTTGGTCCTTTCACTATTGGCTACCACTTCCCTCTGAAATAGTTTTTCAAAATCTATACTTTGGCTCAATCATGAGCGAAAATGGAGACTAGAGTCAAGAAATTTTTAAAAAGAACAGGACTCTAATAATAATAATAATCATCATCATCATCATCATCTTTATTTATATCCCGTCACCATCTCCCCAATGGGGACTCGGGGTGGCTTACGTGAGGCCAAGCCTGGACAACATATTACAGCAAAATAAAACCAAAACATAAGCATCAAGCAACAGTATCAAAATCACAAAAATACCCATATGAATACAATAACAAAATAACATTCCAATAAAAACAATCACAGTGACAGTGGGCGGGCCACATGTGCAGGATAAAATGTTAAAAAACTCGAATGAGATAAGAATAGGAGCAAGTTATTTGCAGGGAGCTCATAAAGAAACACAGGGTTGTGAAACTAAACTTCCCATTAGGGGGGCATGTACTCCAGTGACAGAAGCGTTGAGGGGAGCAGTAGTGTCATGTTGTACACCCACTCTCCAAAGGCGCAGCAGAAGACCCAGGTTTTAAGGTTCTTTTTAAAGGTTTCTAGGGTAGGGGCTTTCTTCATCTCTCCAGGTAGTGAGTTCCAAAGTCAGGGAGCCACAGAGGAGAAGGCTCTCTCCCTTATGCCCACAAGATGAGTTTGTGAGACTGGCAGAGGCAAAAGGAGGGCCTTCCCTGAAGACCAAAGGGCCCGGGTTGGTTCATGGTGAGAGATACGGTCACGAAGGTAGGCGGGTCCCAAACAGTTTAGGGTTTTATCGGTGATAACCTGTACCTTGAATTGGGCCCGGAAAGTAAATGGCAGCCAGAGGGCTTTGTTTGAGGGCTCTGTTACTAACAGGGTGTCTCATTCATAAGATTGCCATAAATCAAAACCATTTACAGGCAGTCTCCAAGTTACAAATGAGATAAATTCTGTTTTAGTGAAGACTTATGCTCTACAAGCCTACTGTTGAATCTCACTGTGTGTTGGGGAAAACAGACGCACTGCCTGTTGTTCTTGGTAACATTCACTTTGGCTTTGGGCTGAAAAAGATTTTCTGGCACTATTTTTAATGGGAAGTTGTTAGCAACTCTTTGAAAAGGATCAGGGAGGAGGCTGTAGCTCAGGGTTGCTTGCATGTTTTGCAGGTAAGAAGTCTTAGATGTACAGTGTTCCCTCACTTTTCGTGGGTTACGTTCCAGGACCTATAAAGCCCTAAACGATTCTGGTCCAATTTACCTGTCTGAACGCATCTCCCCTTATGAACCATCTAGGACTTTAAGATTGTCTGGGGAGGCTCTTCTCTCAAT